AGGCACTCAAAATGAGCACAAACATGCACAATCATCGAGTGCTCAAACGATAACATCCAAGTCTTGAGGTCGGTCAAAAATGGGGTGTCTACAGGTTGCAGGACTATAGTGTGGTCATTAAGAAATGGTCATCAGATCTTCATCTTGAGCAAGAAAGGTTTGTATGGCTGAGCTATTATGGAATCCCACTGAACCTATGGAATACAGATACATTTAGAAAAATTAGAAGATTATGGGGGGAGGTGATTTATTTTGATGGAGATACATGTGAAGCAGCATCTTTTCGGTGTGGAAAGATTAAGATTGCCACAATCCTCATGGAGCCAATAGATATAAATTTAACTCTAGAATGCAAGGGAAGAGCATATCCTATAAGAGTGTGTGAAGAGCAGATTGTGAAGGTAGTAAAAGCCACTTGTAAATGCAACCTAGTTGATGGTGATGAGGAGTATGTCAGCTCCAATGTCGATGGTGAGGTGTAGCCCAATGTTGAACCCAGATTAGGGAAAGATGAAGATGACTTGGTAGATATGGTGGCTGATGATGTGGAAGTTACCAATGAGCTGGTTGAAGGGGATTTGCCAACTAGAAGGAATGAAGGAGGTTGGAGTGGATGCAGAAGGTAACTGGATGGAGGTCTCAATAGTTGAAGAAATCGCAGATTACATGGGGAAATCAAATGAAGCTGCCAAAAGTAAGATTACAGCCGACATTGGAAAAGCAATTAAAGAGGGCACACGTGAGGCAGAGACAATGATGAAAGAAAAAGGAGGATTACAGTAAGGGTGTAATGATGAGACACTAAAAGTAAGTGGTCAGACTCACATACCAGGATCTGTGAGAAGTTTGAGTGGGTCTTCGAGGGCCAGACCAGGTATTAACTTCAAGGTTCTTTTGGGCCAGAAGCAGTGCACTAATAAGACTATTGGACCAGATATAATTCAACATTATGACTCTGGTACTAGCCAGCCCAATGTGTGGGCTGAGCATGGGCTTATTGTGCTGGGATCTAAGTCCAGTGATTGTAATACTACTAGTGTATCCATCTGTAAATCTGTGTCTAATAAGATGAAGTCTAGAAATAATAAAGGGAAAAGAAAAGTGGGTGTTAGAAACTCCATGTCAGTAGGTGGATTTTCTGGGTTTGCAAGAAGGCTAGGGCAAGGGGGGGCTGGATCAAGTAAAGGAAATCACAAAGGGGTGGTTGTTAGGACGGCAACTACTGCAATGTTGAAGTCTGTATCAGATAAATCTCAGCATAGTTGCATTGAAGGAAAATTACATGAGGCTCAACTAACATTTCTTTTGGGTAAAAGTTTGGGGGTTGACTGTCAGGGTTAAGATGAGGCAGTGACTCAAAATCTTGTTCAGATCGAGGAGGTGGATAAAGAAAGGATTGGAGAGAGGGTTGAAGGGGCAACATAATCAGCTCCTACTAGGTGATATGAAAGAGTACAAATCTGCTGTTATGAAGTGGTTAAGTTGGAACATCAGAGGGATTGACAAGATTGAGAAGATGAGAAAAATTAGAAAGGTCTTGGTAGATAGGAAAATAGATTTGGCATTATTTCAAGAAACAAAAAAAAGGCAAGCTTTTCACGTGTGGATGTCAAAAGAGTGTGGCCTAGAGACAAAATGGAGTTCATGGTTGTTGATGCTGAGGGCAGGGCTGTGGGACTGCTTTGCATATGGGATCCTGAGGTGTTTCAGCTCTCAGATTGTTGCAGCAATAGGCATTTCATTATGCTTGCAAGTGTAGTCCTTAACTCATTTGATTGTGTTGTTATTAATGTGTATGCTCCTAATGATCCTGTGAGGAGAGGTAAATTATGGGAGACCCTAGTAAATTTGAAAGCAAGTTTCACTAAACCTTGGTGCCTAGGTGGAGACTTTAATGAAATTACATCAGTGGATGAACACTACAACAAAAGTAACCTATGGTGACAAAAAGTAGTGAAGAAAATAAATTGTCACTGAATAAGAATAATCCGTGACGAATTATAAAATTTTGTCACGTATAATAAAAAAATAAAAATAATAGGTGACGAAATTTATTTTTGTCAACAAATACTTCTTTTTAGGTGAGAAAAAATTAAGTTTCGTCACCGAAGGTTTTCCCGCTAATATTTTTTGAGTGGCGCCAAAAATTTAGACTTTTGGTGAGAAAAAAATTTGTCACCAATTATAAAATTATTAGCGAGGAATACATTTTCGTCACCAATAATTTTGTATATATTTTTTTTGAGAAACTTGATTTTAAATGTTTTAAGACCATTTGGTGAGAAATATATTTTTATCACTAATAATTTTTAATATTTTGAGACATTTTAGTGAGGAAATTATATTGTCACCAATTTTAGAGGAAAAATTTTAACATATTGGGCGGTAATGGAAAAAATAGACTACTAACTTTTTTCCCCCTTTATTTTTGTTGATCAATTTTTCTCTCCCCTCTCTCTCTCTCTCTCTCTCTCAAAACAAAAACACAAATTAATTAACTCTCTAAACTTATGGTGACGAAAAGTAGTGAAAAAAATATTTCGTCACTAAATAAGAATAATCCGTGACGAATTATAAATTTTGTCACATATGATAAAAAGTAAAAATAATAGGTGACGAAATTTATTTTCGTTAATAAATACTTATTTTTAGGTGAAGAAAAATTAAATTTCGTCACCAAAGATTTTTCCTCTAATTTTTTTTGGGAGACGCCAAAATTTTGAGATTTTTAATAAGAAAAAAATTTGTCACCAATTATAAAATTATCAGTGAGAAATATATTTTCGTTACAAATAATTTTAAATATTTTTTAAAAGAAATTAATTTTAAATATTTTAAAATTATTTAATGAGAAATATATTTTTATCGTCAACAATTTTACACAACAAAAGTAACCTATGGTGACGAAAAGTAATGAAAAAAATAAATTTCGTCACTAAATAAGAGTAATTCATGATGAATTATAAATTTTTGTCACATATAATAAAAAATAAAAGTAATTAGTGACGAAATTTATTTTCGTCAATAAATATTTCTTTTTAGGTGAGGAAAAATTAAATTTTGTCATCGAAGGTTTTCCTGCTAAATTTTTTTGGTGGCGCCAAAATTTTGAGACTTTTGATGAGAAATTTTTTTGTCACCAATTATAAAATTTTTAATGAGGAATATATTTTCGTCACCAATAATTTTACATTTTTTTTTTTGAAAACTCAATTTTATAAATTTTAAGATTATATGGTGAGAAATATATTTTCGTCACTAATCAACTTGTTCGGTTTTGGTTTTCAAAAAATTTACTTTTTTATTTTCCAAATTATATTTTCAATGAATTTTTTTAATATTCTAAGTTTTTTTTTTTTAGACACGCATAACATAAATATACTTAAAAAGTATAATATTTATGAATTTTAAAAAAAAAAAATAAAATTCCCCCCCTCTCTTTTTACACTTGAAAATATGAATTTTTACACTAAATAGGAACTCACTAATTTTGAAGGAAAAATTTTGACAGATTGGGCAGAAAAAAAAAAAATAGACTACTAATTTTTTCCTTTTTTTTTTTTTATTTGGTTTTGTTTTGTTAATTAGTTTTCCTCTCATATCTCTCTCTCAAAACAAAACACAAGTTAGTCCTCATTCAGAGTGTTCTCCTCTAGCGCTACCACTGATGTTACCTATTCTCCTTCTTCAGTGCCGTCGTCGACGTCGCATCTCCGAGCCTCTCCACCCGTCTCCTTCGATGCCTCATGTTCTCTTCGATCAGCGCCTCCTGATGACGAAAACTAGTGAAGAAAATAAATTTCGCCACTAAATAAAAATTTATAAATTTTGTCACATGACTTTTGGTGAGAAAAAAATTGATCACTAATTATAAAATTATTTATGAGGAATATGCTTTCGTTACCAAATTTTTTTAATATTTTTGAGATCTTCTAGTGAGGAAAAAATGTTGTCACCAATTTTGGTGGGAAAACTTTGATGTATTAAGCGACAATGAAAAAAATGAGTAGGGTTTTAATTTTTTTACCCCTTTTATGTTTATCCACTACAACAAAACTGGGTTTTTACAGCTTCATATCAACGACATACAGTAAATGCAAGCTGTGGTTTCTTATTTTTATGACTTGCTTTTTTTGCATATCGTAAATAATTTCTCAACTACGATGTGTGTATTGCGTAGGTCGTAAATGTTAATAATGATGATTTTTTTATGACTTGCAATGTTAACTGTAAATAATAAAAAAATTTATGACGTGCATATGACATGCCGCTAATACATCAACTATACACAACATGCGTCTATAAATTGATAAAAATATTAAATATTTCACAACACAAAAAATTAATCATTAAAAATTATACTTTTCACGACCCACAAAAAATTAATCATTTAAAATATTACACTTTCCATAATACACAATGTTATCCTAAAAGATGTGACTAAAAAAAATAGCACCAAAATAAAATTTCAGAGTGTCAAACACTACCTAGCATTAGCACTCTCTGTGTCTTTCTGTCTGTTTGTTTCTCTCCATAGCTTTCGTCTCTCTCTCTCTCTCTCCATCATTTTTTCTTTGTTTCTTCTCCAGAACGACCAGCACTACAACCACAAACCCTAGATTCTCCACCGCTCGCTTCTCTAACCCCAACCCTCTTTCTAGCCAAACCCTTACCTCTGACATCTGGCAAAGATCAGTCCCAGTTGGAGTGCTCCATCTCTATCTCACCATCTCTCTATCTCTATCTCTGCCTCACCTTCGCTCTCAATCTCTGCCTCACTATCTCTCTCCATCTCGATCTACCCTTTGAAACCCTCCCAAACCGAAACCCCAATTCAAACCCTCGATGAGTTCTACATAAGGCGATCAGATGATGAGTTATATATATGACAATCCACTCTCACAACCGATGATGAGTTGTCTGCTTTATCAGCTAAAATTTTAAAACCAAAAAATGATTGATGAAGGGTTTAAATAGTCATCTAGAAGGCCCTAATTTGTTGGGGTTCAAGATCAATTCCTAGGGCTGGTTGATTTTTTATGGTCACAACAGTAATATGGCATCATTTGTTTCTTGATCAGCTGAGGTTAGTTTAGTTAGTCTACATTTTTTGCATCTCATTGGAATTAGATTTCAGATTGTATTAAAAATAAAGCTTTTATTGCTTCCTCTAGATATCTATCTTCCTTTTAGTCATGCGCGTACATAATTATGAATAAATCTGCAACACAGATATCAATTTTGTACAATTTGATACAAAATGTATATGAATGAATAAGATTTTTCATAAATAGAGTCCCATAAGATCTTTCATCCTAAGAGTCGTATGTTCTTTGCTGGAATATGGACTGTCACTTGAGAGGTGAGTTGCTATCTATTATGGATTTTAAAGATGGGAAGCTTCCTATGAGGTATTTGGGGGTTCCTCTTGTCTCTACTAAGTTGTGTAAAATAGATTCTGATCAATTGGTTGCTAGGATTACTAAGAGGATTCAATCGTGAGCTAATAAAGTGTTGTCGTATGCTAGTAGAGCCCAATTGATTAAAAGAATTTGTATTAATAGAATTCTTAATTTTAATATATAATAGAATTTGTATTTGTTCAATTCCACTCTCTTAATAGAATTTGTATTTGTTCAATTCATTTCTTAATGGGTTTGAATTTTGTTTTTTTTTTAATTATAAATAAATCTTTGGGTTTAGTGTTATTATTGGATTAAAAAAAGGTCAAATGATGGTGTTTGACTACAATTCTAGATTCTAGATTATTTGATTTTTTTTAGCTTATTTAACTTAGAAAAAGTGAGATTACTTGTAATTGTTTTCAACTTAAGAATGTGCCTAAATTCATTAGAAGCTAAATAGTATAATGCTAGTAGAAAGAAATGAGATAAAGAGAGATTATTTTTAATTAAATTCCATGTATATATAATAATTTAGTTGCCATTTTTTTTTTTCATGGGACTAACTAAGGATGTCATTTACATACTTTTCTAAACACAGACAGCATAGGATATCCATATGTATAAAACATTTCAATAGAGTCACTACTACAATAATGGTTAAAAGTCATACTTTTCAGATTGAATTTAGATAAGAATCATGCTTAAAAGTAGCAAATTATGAGTACAAAACTCTAAAATTTTGCTCAAAGCATGCTTTAGTCTGAATTTGTGTTCAATGTTAAAGAAGTATAGATGAGGAACATGAGGTTGCTCCTTCCATGCTCCATTCTACAGACTTGATGTATAGATTTTATAGCTTTCTTTTGTTTTATTTTAAAGCTATTAAATATATTTTATAGTTTTTTTTAAAAAAAATTAATTTTTTTTTTTTAAATTTGACAATTCTAGTGTCTTCTCTGAGCTGTGTTTGCATTGCTGAATATATCTATTGAATTGTGGTTTTAACTTTGCATATCTAAACATCATTTATAATTTTTAGATTAGATATCAGTCTCTTGAAGAAGAAATAGCCTTTGGACCTGGTTGTTGGTTGTGGGATTATTTAAGAAGTGGGGCTTCTAGTTTTCTGCATCCACTTTCTAGTGGTGCTGGGTTCTAAGGCACATAAGGGTTATGTTTACAAAATTGGAATTGTACGTGGTGTTTTTATATTATTTTTGTTACTCTATCAATGACATTTTATTTTGCATGTTGGCCAGCTCTTTGGTTTGGTGAACACACTTTTGGAAAATTCCAGAAACACTGCAGAGAAGGATCTTTCTATTCAAAGATATGCTGTCATTCCATTGTCTCCAAACAGCGGATTAATAGGATGGGTACCAAATTGTGACACCCTGCTCCATCTCATTCGGAGTAAAGAGATGCTAGAAAGGTCCGCTAAGGTTCATTTGATGCTCTATGTGTGTGTGTGTGTGTGTGTGTGCGTGTACGCGCATTTCGTCTAATTTTTTGTGCATGTTTCTGGTATATAGATCACCTTAAATCTAGAGCACAAACATATGCTTAATTTTGCTAAAGATTATAACCATTTGCCACTTATAGCTAAAGTGGAGGTGTTTGAGTATGCTCTGCAAAATAGTGAAGGAAATGACCTGGCAAGGGTATGTTTTCTTCAAGAAATATGCTGCATCTTTGGCTCTCCCCTGGGAATTCTTTTCTCAAGTTAGTTACATTGCCTCTTGACAGGTGTTTTAGTTAAAAAGTTGCACTTTTGAGAATTGGCTGGACAGGAGGACAAATTATACTAGAAGCTTGGCTGTCATGAGCATGGTATCATTTTTCTTCTCGTATTATTTAGATCTTTTTCTTAAGACCAGCAAGATTCGGCTATATATGTTTCCACAAAATCAACACAATATGGCTCCCATGTATGATCTTATTTGTCAACCTTTTATGCTTTAGAAATGTTTAGATAAGAGAATGTTTCGAAGTAAATGTATGTTATTTGATTATACTTTTCTTTCTTTGGTTAGAATGATATACTAAGAAGGAACCCTGCAAATCACTAACTTAATTTGTGAATATATACCCAATACAATTGTGTGATTAGGTGTCTAAAGTATTTGAATGCTTGTGTACATATCTTTCATTGTGTAGATATATGATTTTTTGGGTACTGATATTCTTTCCGTTGTATACAGGGATTCTTTGTTATTCTTTCATGGATGCCTATATATTTTAAAACAGTATGGCCATAGCTAGCCTAAACGTTGTAGTTTATCAGCAATTTATCACATACTCAACAAGTGTACTGATTTTATGAGAAAGATGAAATACATGTCTCTTTGTTATAGATATATCATGTCCACCTTAGACAAGCAGCTTGATCTTTCAAAAAAGTAAAAACATAACCAAAGACAACTTCATTAATTTTGTTTCCAAAATGTATTTACTAGTAGTCATGGTCCACGCAATGGACTCATGAATATCATGTATGGTTGTCCAATTTTTTATTTTTTAAAATTTCTTTCTAATTTTGATTCAAACAGGCAATAAACAATCATTGATGCTGGTTTCACAAAATTGCATGTAACCTGGAAAACTAGAAGTTTGAATTGAAATATTTCTATCTACATTTGTTTCTCTTGTTTTACTTTTGGATTTTCCTACTAATCATGTGATACAGTAAGCATTAGGTATATCCTTACTTGCAGTCAATTGGTTTTGTTGGTCCTGGGATTGTGCTCAATGGTCTAACCATGACAAAGCACACATCAATAGCATCTGCTTGGCTTACTTTACCTGTTGGGCTAAAATCATTTAGTCATTGTGGGTTCCTTGTGAATCTTCAGGTTAGTGTACTCAGAAAAAAATCACTTGAAATTAAGAACAGCATAAATTCTGTTTTCACCCGCGTCTGACCTTATTTTCATTCTTTTCTACGAAGCAAGGTTTCTTAAGAAGCAAGGTTTCAAAGGAAAATTTAAAGGAGGAGGTATCTCATGAACTCGTAGATCGCCGTTTTGGCAAGTCCCGCTTGTTTTATGTTTTTATTTTTCTAATGTTGGTTAGTATATACTAGTTAAAGAACAACAATTTCACTAATTATTAACTAAGATTTAACAAGTTTGAAGATGTATTTAATGAAAATAGATTCATTAGTTACTTCTTACTTAGCATGACCCTTATTAAAATACACATTAACCAAAATAGAGACAAAACTACATGTATATTTTTTTGTGTATTTTTGCTAGGCAGTGTTGGAGTTGCTCTAATTTAGTGATGTGATTAATAGGAGCTTGTCATGTATAAAGGAACTTTTGGTTGTAAAGCTAGACTCATTGTGTACACAATTTTTTTTGTTTATTTTCTTTGCAGATTAGTTTTTGATGACGTTTGGAAGCATACTTGCAAATCAAGATCAAGTGTTAAATTTTTTTTTCCTGAACTGATACTTTGGTTCTAGTTGCAAATTAAGATTGAATGCTGATTTTTTTTGTGAACTCCATGTTAGTTCATTTTTGGATTTGCTTTGATGGTTTTTTTGTTATACTTAATGGATTATTATTAAATTTGTTTGATGGATATATTTTGATTTATAATATAAATTTTTTGGTGAATTTTTTTATGGAGTGGCATATAATAGCTAATGGATTTCTTAGTACATTTAAAAGGTTATTGGGATATGAATAGGGATATTTGTAAAATAATAATTTAAATTGAAATACAAAATATGGGACAAGTTTAGTGACGAATTAATTTGTTTCGTCATTTGTATTTGTTATTATGACAAAGTGATTATTTGTCGCTAATAAATATTTTTTGTGACAAAATTTACTATAGTTTATATATGAAGGTTTTCATTAATTTTGTTGTTTGGTGATTAAAAATTTCGTCATGTATATATATTTTTGTTACGAAATATATTTCGTCACCCATGTATGATATTTGGAGATGAAAAATTTTGTCAACTTTACATCTTATTGTGACGAAATTATTTCCTCATCAATGATCAACATGCGTGACAAATTTATTCGTCAACTAAAGTTATAAATGTGGTACTGAAAAACTAATTGGTGACGAAAATGAGGATTTTTTGTGACAAAATGTTGTTTTATTGGTGACAAAAAGTTTCGGCACTAAAGTAATTTCATTGGTGACGAAATTATTTTTCGTCACGATGCTTTTTAGTGACAAACATTCAATGACGAACCCGGTGATGAAAATATTTTCTCACGAATATCTATAGTGACGAAATTAGCTCTTTGGAGACGAAAAAAATTCGTCATCCAAAACCCAACTTGTTGTAGTGGAAAAGTGAAAGGAAGGGATGTTTGAGGAGGGAGAGAGGTATGAAAGACTTCAATGATTTTATAAATAGGTGTAAGCTACCTGAGTTACAAATGTTGGGTAGGAAATATACCTGGTGTAATGCAATTGATGGCAATAAATAGAGTAAAATTGATAGATTCCTACTGAGCCCTAAGTGGATTGAAATATTCAAGTTCAAACTGTGGGGTTTACCTGGACACATTTCTGATCATTGTCCTCTACTTTTAATGGAGGATGTAAGGGAGTGGGGACCCAAACCTTTTAAGTTCTCTAATGCTTGGTTGCTGTACCCCAATTTTGCATCCTTTTTGGAGAGAGTTTGGCAAGAGTCATAGCTAAATGGAAGAGCATGTGTAATATTGCAAAGGAAATTACATGCATTGAAGTTAGCATTAAAGTAATGGAGCAAAGAAGTGTTTGGTAATGTCTCAGAGAAAATTAAAGAAGTTAAGAGTCACCTGCACTCATTGGATTTATTGGCTGAAGATAGACCCTTGGTGGAAGCAGAGCTGAAGCTAAAAAGAGAGACCAGTAGTGAACTGTGGAGGCTCAGTAGAATGTTGGAATGGTCATGGTTGCAAAAGTCAACATTGGAGTGGAACTTAAAAGGGGATAGAAACACCAAATTTTTTCATGTGATGGCTAGCAGTAGGCAGAATAGGAATGCACTGAACTCTATTCTGGTGGAGGGGATGGTGGTTGAGAATCCAGAGCAAGTGAAGAATGTGGTATGGTCTCACTTTAATAGGCACTTTTTAGAAGTATGGAGGATTAGACTTGTCTTAACTGGTGATTTTAAGAGTGTCAGATGCAGTGACTGGTTTCAGTAGCTGGAAGCAGAGTTTTCAGAGGAAGAGATATGGGCAACAGTCAAAGAGTGCAAAGGAAATAAAGCACTAGGGCCCGATGGCTTTAACTTAATGTGTTTTCAAAAGAATTGGAAGGTGTTTAAAGAAGATGTGATGCTATTCATGAAAGAGTTCCACAGTTTGGGTAGATTGGCTTTTGGAATGAACAACTCCTCATCACTTTAATTCCAAAGAAGGTCAATGTAGTCAATCTCAATGAGTATAGGTTAATAAGCTTAATTGGATCAATGTACAAGATTTTGTGTAAGGTTCTAGCTAGTAGACTCAAACTAGTTATGCCAGAAGTAATAAGTGAAGCCCAATTAGCTTTTTTGGATGGAAGAAACATCTTGGATGGGATTTTGATCGCAAATAAAATTGTGGACGGGTGGAAGAAAGCCAAGAAGAAGGGGCTGCTGCTTAAACTTGATTTTAAAAAAGCTTATGATTCCATGAACTGAGGTTTTTTGTTTTCCATGTTGTCCAATTTTGGCTTTGGCTCTAAATGGATTAATTAGATGAAGGAGTGTATCTCAAATGCTAGAATCTCAGTACTCATGAATGGGTCACCAACCAAAGAGTTTAGTCCACAAAAAGGCATTAGACAGGGTGATCCATTATCACCTTTCCTGTTTAATTTGGCTGTAGAAGAGTTAAGTATTCGATTGTTTAGAGCAAGAGAGATTGGACTGATAAAAAGGATACATATTGGAGTTAATGGGGTGGTCATTTCACATCTACAATTTGCTAATGATTCATTACTTTTATGTGAAGCTGATATGGAGGAGGTAATGAATCTTAAAAGAATCTTAAGGTGGTTTGAAATGATCTCAAGACTTAAGATTAATTTCCATAAGAGTGTGGTATATGGGGTTGGAATTTCAGTCAATAGTCTTAAGGAACTTGTTTTAGTGCTTAATTGTACAACTCAAAACTTTCCACTGAAATTTCTGGGTTTACCATTGGGTGCCTCTCCAAGTAGAAAGAAATCTTGGCAACCTGTTATTGACAAGATCAAAGCCAGACTTGCTGGATGGAAAAGGAGGCTCTTATCCCTTGCTGGCAGGTTGACTCTAATCAAATCGATGCTATCTAGTTTTCCAGTGTATTATCTTTCTCTCTTTAGGATGCCAGAAGGAGTTGCTAAGGAAATTGATAGATTACAAGTAGCTTTCTTATGGGGAGGCACATAATTGAAAAAAAAAGATTCATCTAGTGCATTGGAAGGAGGTGACCAAGAGCATTAATCAAGATGGGTTGGGTATAAGGAGAATTAGAGAGGTAAATGCTTGCTTATTAATGAAGTGGTGGTGGAGATTTGCTAATGAAGAGGAGGCCTTGTGAAAAAGGTGATTTGTCATAAGTATAAATTTGAAGATAGAGCATGGCTTCCAAATCAAACTTTTGGCATAAGATGGTCTAAGATATAGGGTGATGTCCTAGTAGTGGCAGAGCATAGTTACACTATTTTACAATTTTTTGTTAACAATTTTCAAATTAAAGTGGGTAATGGGAGTAGAGTGAGATTTTGGCATGATAAATTGTGTGGTGGTATTTGTCTTAAAGAGGCTTTCCCTAGACTTTTTTTCACTCTCAACAGAGAAGAATGGATCTCTCAAGCTTTTTGTTGACAAAAAAGGAAGCTCTGGGTTGTGGGATTTATGTTTAAGAAGGCCTTTGCGGTAATGGGAGGATGAGGAGGTATCTAGGCTCATTGGAGCAGCTCCTATGTTACGTTTGAGGGGGGAAAAAAACCAAAGCTAGCTTGTAAACCAGGTCAGTTCTTTGTTGCTTCTTTATATAGGCACTGTGAAGTGGGTTTATGTGCAGTTATGAGACTTGTAGACTGGTGTGGATTAATTATCTCCCACCCAAAGTTCAATTTTTTGGGTGCTTAGCTTGGAAACATAAGATCAAAACTACTATTTTCCTCCAAAGGATTGGAGTGCTGGGTGATGAAGTCTCAACTGTGTGTATTTTCTGTAAATTAGAGACAGAATCTGTTTCACATGTCCTCATTTCTTGTCCTCTGATGTGGAAGGTGTGGTCTGGTTTAGTGCAGT